ATTAAGTTAAGGATCTTGAGATGGAGAGATGACTCTGGATTATCTGGCTGGGCCTGATGGAATCACAATACTCCTTATCAGAGGGACACAGGAGAAGTCCATGTGATAACAAAACCAAGATTGGAGTGCTATGCTCTGAAAAGCAGGTGGCCTCTAGAAGCTGAAACAGGTAAGGAGATGATTCTCCTCTCAGAGCTTCCAGAAGGAACCAGCCTTGATAACACTTTGACGTTAGCACAAAAACCGGTTTTGGACTTCCGACTTCTAGAACTGTAAGAAAATATAAAGCCGTGTTGTTTTAAGCCACTAAATTGGTGGTAATTTGTTACAGTGGCCTTAGGAAACTAAGGCTCAAAGGTGTGTTTGAGGGGACGCAAGATAACTCATTGAGCCTAGAACCTAAACTCCATTTTACGTACAAACCCAGAGCGCTTTTTCCAGTTTAAGCCTATACAAGATTTTCCAGGGAAGGTAGTGCTTCATTATATTCAGAACTTTACCAAGAGTCGTTCCCCATTTCAGAAAATCACGTCAACTATGGCAAAGCTACATGTGATATTTGAGTCATCAGGTCAACATGGCTAGGTCAGCCTGCATTTGTCACAGTCACATTTATGGGGATTCTAAGTACAGATGCTAACAGCCCCCCCCCATTGTGTCTTCTAGAGTAGCCGTACCCAAACGTTCACATATTGAAATGTATATTATTTTGTTAAGTATGTCCCTTTTTTCTCCTCTGTGTGACCTCTATCACCTAGTTAGGGCCTCATATGGCTGGGGTGGGGGAAGGGTGGGTTTGGAAGATATGTATATATGCAGATGTATGCAGGTAGGTTCTAGTATGCAGTAATTCTATTCCATAAGATACAAATCGTTTGTTAGAAAATCGGACTTTGGGCCAGATAGGGCTGATAATGACAGTCTCAAATGGTGTTCTTGTTCTCAGCACCTGGTATCTGAGTATTTACACCTTCTGTGCTCCCTCTCCCTGGCCTCTAAGACTGGCCTGATGATCACCAGCCTTGTGTCCTGCCAGTCCCCACACCCTCACCCACAGCACCCTTTCCCATGTAGCCCTGATTTAGCCTAAACCCTCCTCTCCGCTAAGTGCTCTAAGCAGCCCATTGGCTTGGGCTAGTACGCAAGACCAAGGCTTTTCTAATCCAGACCAGGCAGATGTCTCAGCCTGTAACACCCTCGTCCCCGCCCCACCTCACCCCCACCCCCACTCCACCCCCGCCAGTGCTGGCTCAGCTCAGACATCTGCTGAGGGCTGGGACAGGAGCCTTTTCTCAGCCTTCCCACGGCCCCTGGGCTCACCTCTGTCATCACACCAGTTTCCCAAGTGCCTGTTTGTTTCTCTCTCCCCCTCCAAACACAAGCTTCTTGAGAACAGGAGCTGTGATACATCCCTTGCACGTAACACAGCGCCTGGGAGGGGGGAGGAGGCAAAGGGACACCTCCCACACGTACCTTCCTCCAATTCTGTTTCCTGTTCTTCCCAGACAACCCATTTCCTCCGACTGGCAATTTTTAATGTAGACGTTCTAATAGATTTAGTCAGTTGGCAGTCAAGCTGAGGCCTGTGAGGGACACCTGTCGTTTGGTCACCCAGCTGCCAACACCCCTCGGATGGGGGAATCCCAGCACAGGTGGGAGAACAGTGAGGGCACAAGGCCTAAACGGGATCAGGTCTCACCCAGGACCTAGAATCTTGAGGGAGGGACACTGAGACATACAGTCAGAGACAGCAGCAGCAGCTGTGGGGGACCCTGCATCCCACGGGTGGGGCAAGCTCCTCCAGGGACTGCAGTGTCCTGTAGGATGTGGGTGAGTGTCAGGGTCCTGGGGCGCGATAATGAATGTGCATGGTGATGACCGCAGCTGTGGCCTAAATACAGGGTTCCTGGGCGGTGGGGAACGGGGGTGTCTTATGTGGATCTGTGTGAGCCTGGCTCTCCTGTCAGTTATGTGAGTTCCCAAATACCCTGCCGTTAAGTCCCTAAATTTGCACCTGTCTCTTTCAGGCGTAGAATAGACTCCTGCCCCTTTCTCCACTGCTTCCTTCTTCCCGTGTCTCCCACCAAATCTTCAGCCTCACCCCTGCAATCCATCTGGTTCCCTGGTTGCCCCCTCACCCTGCCCCCACATGTATAAGATCTGTGTCCCTTGTCCCCGCAAAGCTCTGTGGCTGTACAGGGATGCCACCCTCATTCTCCAGGACGGGAGCCAGGCAAGTGGCCTGGTCCTGGGTGAGGGTGGACATGGGTGCTCTGGTTAGAATTTCCTTGTTGATATTCCCCAAGGCTGCGGTAGACCCAAAATCTCGAGAAGCTCTTAGATTAAGACTCATTCATTTTTTTTAATATGTTCATATGTTTCATTTTCATTGTCCAACACCATAAGTAAAGAGCAATTATTTTCTTAGTTCAGAAGGAGCCCAACCAGCCTTCATTGTCAATAAGCCCATGTCCATGCAAGGAGCAGCTTTGGTTTCTTCTTCCACCTGGCTCACAAAAGATCAACATTCACCTTTAATGACTCCTTGCTTTGTTATCCTGGGAAGGGCTCCAAGTTCAATGAAATTCTTTTGCTGGAGGAAGGTAGAGGGATTAGTGCAACCCTCTTGCCACAATAACAAGAAAGATGACCCAGAATGTGTCCTGAGCAGCACTCCGTGCTCAGCTCCGTCCTCAGCACGTGGCAGAGAGGATGTCTACTTAATGTCACAGCAATTCCATGGGGTGGGCACTAGCATCCCCACCCTGTAGATGTGCAAATGGAGTCACAGGACTTTCCAAAGATCACAGCACTAGGAAGGGCAGTCTTAGATGCTAAGCCCTAAAGGGTGGAAGGAAAGAAAAGAAAGGAGAACGAGGGAAGAATAAGGGAAATGTGATAGAGTGGCAGACTAATTCCTCCTAAAAAAAAGTTGAGGATTTTCTGGCAATCCTGATCTTCTAGAATCTGGAGCAAAGGGCTAGTGCAAGAGACTGTGCGCCAAGCAAGGCACATTTTGTCAAAAGAAAAGATACCCTGGGTGTTTAAATACATTGACTGGGCGACTGAAGAGAACTACCTGCTATCTCTTCTCCAAAACAGTAAACCAACTTCCTTCAGTTGGGGACTGCAGCAACCGTTTAACATGGACACGTTGTTTTGGAAAAATTCACATACAGCGTTTCACTACCCCACTGGAACTTCAGAGCTCATAGAGTTGTACTGTGATAAAAGAGTGGATGGAGGGCCATATTAATACAGTATTTGGTTTGGACGCTTCCTGGGCAGAACTAGGCAACTGAGCTGCAGGCCAGCGTGGAGTATCATCCTTAGCTGGTACTCTTTCTGCCGGGGGCCAGGGCATTCCGGGGCTCTGCATATCAAACACGTGCACCAGAAACGATTGTATCACAGAAGACACAGAAAGCTTTGTCACCGGGATCTGGTGCTCAATGCTGGCGCAGCGAGGTCTGTAACCTTAAACATCCGGCCTCTTGACCAACACCATTCAGGACCCAGAGACAAGCTTCTCCCCATCTCTGGCCCTATATTTTCAAAACTAAAAGTGACTACATCTGAATGCCATGAAGTCTGTGGGCTGTATCACCATCAGCATCAGAGATGGACATTGTTTGGGGAAAATGGAAAGATTTGAGCAGTGGAAGAGTTTAGAGAAAAGACAAATTAACTTGTAAAGTCCCCTTGAATCCGTGAATAAAGAGGTCAACTGTATGTTATCTACATGTAACTTGTGTGACGTGAGATACTAACTTCTTATATTAACTAGTTGGGCATGGAATGCAAAAATGAAAAGTTTTATTTTTATAAAAAGATGTAATAACATTTCATTAAATTTTCAAGAGCAAATAAAAAATGTTAGCTGTATTTAAATAATTTTGATCAAAATGTTTGCATTCATTCATTATAATTTATAATTTGGCTTTTCATTTTAATAGGTAAATTTAAATACTGTAAACGAAAAATAATTTTTGAAAAACAATTTTCTTTATACTTTTGTGAAAATGTATCAACATTTTGTATACCCTGAATGTAATTGCTTTTATTATCTACTTTTTAGATCATTACTGTTATGGAAAACAAATTATGTGAACATCTTTATGTCAGTAATGTAACTAGTAATTTTGCGAGAATGGAGACAAGAAAAATTAATTATATGGAATAAGTACTGTGATGATATGTGAATTATATCAGTATTTTGTTACTCCTCTAGATATTGCCAGCCCACCAACCAAACACCAGACATGTTGTACAATGATAAAATTTAGATGTCTTTGCTATTTTATTGACTTGCAGTCACATAAAAATCATAGCTTTACACATATTTTAAAATTTTGTTGTTAGAGAAATTTATCAAGGCAGGAGGATGGGCCGTGTTGTATTTAACAGTTTATTGGTTTGACTTATTGCTTCTTACTATTATATTTAGACACATGGCGGGTGGAGCTCCATTTGTGCTGTTGCTCTGGGGCCCACACACATTTGAGGTGGGTCTGTCATCATGCAGTCTAAGGATGTTGGGGGGTTTTCGGAGTCTGCATCCAAGAGGAGCATAAGCCCAGCTTAGCACACATTCTGATATTCTGATCAGGCCTAGACCCAAATCTCAGAACAAGAGAGAGCAACAGCATCGAATCAAGCTAGAAACTCCCCAATAATAGTGCCAAGCATCACCCCCAGGTTGGAAAAGGCCACCCTGGTAGGCTGGTAGCTGGAAGAGAAGGGTTTCAGAAAATGCATGGCAGATGCGACACAATGGCCGTGGCAGGAAGAGGATCCTAGGAAGCTGATGGGGTCAAAGGGCCGTTTGTTCCATTTACCGGAACGTAAAATCAATGCGCTTCACCATCCGCTGTGCAGGAAATGCAGTGGACCTCTCCCCGGGGGACTGCATCCCGGCCGATGTGCAATGCTTTACCACCCTGAGCATGGACATTTCCAGGCAACAGAACTGCGTCTGTCCTGGGGGCTCGTACCTCTGTCCTGACCCAGAACTCCTCCAGAGCGTTTTTAACAGGAAACTAAAGACAAAACATGGAGGCCACCTGCCTGCCCTGCTAATGGTACTGTCGTTATGAATTGAAGTTGAGGCTGTAAATGATCTGAGTAGAGATTTGGCATATGTGAAACCTCAGGGGACACAGAAAGTGACCAGGGTTCTACTTCCAGTATCGCGTTTCTGTATTAACTAGCTTTCCGACCTTGGACACTTTCTTTAACCTCTACAGGCCTCTGTTTCCTCATCTTGAAAACAGAAACATAGTCGTAGGTGATTTTTAAGGTCCGTCTTGCTTGCAACGCCACGATTTATCTGCCAGAAGGATTCCTGCTGTGTGTCTTGGACTATGTCCAGTATCAGGATGACTTATTCCAAAAGGCAGTTGTTCTTTTGTTTGCTGGCCTCAGGGGAAACCCAAATATTTTATGATGTTATGAGGGAGCGGGGACGGCCAGTGCCCTCTGTTCTCAAAGCCCATGTCCCTGGCACTGATCCAGCCTCTTTGGTGGAGACCATCCCACCCTTGTTATGCGGTCAGACACGCTACCTTCAGGGAAGTACCCACAAGACAATAGGTCCCTTTGACAACACCAAGTCCTTTCAACTGTGATAGACAGCCCTTGAGCTCTATAATGGGGCTCAGTTTGTAAGGTTTTTAAACCATGACTTATTTTTATTAACTTCTTCAAGTAATATTTCAATGGGGGATAATAGCACCTACCTCATAGTATTTCTGTGAGGAGTAAAAAGTTCACATAGAATTTTGGACAGTGCTTAATACATAATAAATCTCCAAAAAAACATAGCTGTTGGGTACCTACTGCGTGCCAGGCACATGCTAGGGGCAGGAATGCCAAAAGGAGTAAGACCAGCTCCTCGAGGAGTGCACAGAGCGGAGGTGCCCATGCACACCACAAGAGCACACTAGGAGAAGTAACTTAGCACAGGAAGAAACAAAAGTTATGGGAATATAGACAGGGAGGTACTGATTCTTTCTGGGACAGGACAGGAGAACGGGAGGTGAGGTGGATGCCTACAACTTCTGGGTACCCAGCACCGCATCCGTTCCTTCTCCAGTTAGGAGAACCCATCTTTCTTGTGGGGCACACATTGCAGGTCGTCAGGCAGGACTAGTCCCAGGTGAGGTCAGGTGACCCAAGTCTAGCCAATCAGAATATCTGTCTCGCTGATGATACTCATTAGCTCAAAGATGAGCTGTGTTGCACATGGGGATAGTCAGAACACTAGTAAAGACTTTTACCAAATCTATTAGAAAAGCATTAATTCTCTCTTTATGTGTGGTCATGAGCTTTAAGGATAATGCATGCCTGGGCCTCCCAGTGTCTCTCTTTAACTTTAGGTGAAAAAGGCAGAGGAAAAGCTTAGAGGGAGAGAGGCAGAGACGGAGACACAGAGGACAGAATTGTGGCATTCTAAACCTCTGGATCCGGTTGTGTCTGAAGCTACAACTACTCCCAGTTACATGAGCCACTAAAGCATCCCTTTGTCTAAACTAGATTGCATTGTGTTTTTGACATTTGGAACTATCAGCCCTGGCTAATACAGAAGGATTGTGGTTTTTGTTTTAAATACAGAAAGTTTGAAAGAAGACAGGATATGTGAGCTGAAGTTTGAAGAACATGCAGGCGTTCATCAGGCACAAAAGTAATTTATCTTTGGGATTCTGAAACAAATCATAATTCCCAAGAATTCTTGGGATTTCCACCAAATCATAAATTATTCTATGTTTTTATAACACTTCAGTTGTTTTTAAATAATAATGACTGGCCATAATAATAAACAAGGAATCCTGTTTCTGTGATAGGGTTATAATAAATGTTTCAGAAGTTTTCTATTTTTAAAAAGATACAATAAATGTATAATTTATGATTGTGATGAGGAAATATATAGTGCTTATAGATTATATACTTCCATCAAATAAAATAACCTCTACTGATATAGACATTTGGTAGCAAAAAATATTAAAAGGAGAGAAAGTTAACACAAAATAGATAACAAAAGTTATTAAAAATCGAAAGAGATGATCACAAATACCGAAAAAGTTATTATTCTTAAAACAAAATGTTTGAACACAGAAAGGATTCATTGCCCTAAGCGAGACTTTTGATTGTGACTGATTTGTTGCATGACAAATATTCCAGAGGTAGAAAAAGCCTGTCATTTTGTGTTGACACAGGTTGAATCATTGAGCGTGCATCCAAACCATCTTCAAGCTGGGCCTTAGGGTCCACGTTGCTTCATGTAAGCTCATGTCCTATGTAATGATGAAATTGTTTTGTCTCCTGGCCTTGCTTTTGGTTTGTCTCTAGGATCAATATTGCTTTTGCCAGTGCAAACTTTAGACTGTGCCTGACTCATGTCTTCTCATTGGTATCCTTTCTGAAGTCCAGCTGGGCGTCCCAGGAGCTCAGCAGGGCCTATCCACTCTGACTGGAGGCACGTGGGGAGGCCAGCTGCTCACAGGTCTCCAGGCAGCTGCTCCCTGCTAGGCCTCCCTCTAGAATCCACTGTCTGCCCAACCCTCAGCCAACGACCACCATAACTCAGACACTGGGCTCCACTCTGGGTGCTCTCTTCTCCCCACTTCCCTGACCCACGAATTCCAGGGACTGCAGCCCTGACTTCTGAGCTCTTCCTCCTTGACTCAGTGAGACCAACTGTCTGCATCTCTGTGCTGTGGTTCAGAGTGCTGCTGGAATAGAAAGCCAGGTGGATATGTGGCCCCCTGTGTGTGTGGCCCTGCTCCCAAGGAGCACAGCTTTGTGTTGCTCCAATTCCAGGAAACAGTTGTCACATCTATTTTGCCCATTTTTGTAGTTGTTTAATGGGGCAAGTACTCCAACATGGCCAGATATGAAAGCCCATCCCTGATGTTCATTAGAAAATTGCTAGTAGTAGTAATAGTAGTAGCACATTGTTCAAGTTTATATCATGTATGTTTTGTTTCTGTAGCCATAATTCCACCCTTCTCTTTTCTTTTTAGCAATATTTCTGTATTTAAATGGATTCAATATTCACCTTAAGTTTTGTTCTGTTTTGTTTTTAACAATGATCTCTCCATTCTTGAATTCTCCATTTGATTTATTTCCCTACAGATTTGATTTTATAACTAGCAGGGTTTTTTTATGTTTTGTTTCTTTTTATCCAAGAAGGACTCATGAGTGCTACATTCCTTGAGTTCTTTCAAGTTTGGAAATGTCTGCCTTTTGTCTTTTATGCTGCAATGGCATCTTGTCTGGTTTTCATTTTCTCGGTCACTCTTTAAAGGGTTATTTTTTTTTATAGTGCTCTATTTTCTTCCTTAATTATGTTCCTAGTGATTAAAAAAAATCTTTTAAAATGTTTCAAGTTTTGTTCCCTTTCTTCTTGTGAAATATTGATACCTACGAAAGAACATGCTTAACCTATATAACATAAACCATCACAATAAAATGAGGTCGCGTGAATTCATCAGCCAACCTCATAACGGGAACACTACTGCTACTGATAAGGTTCCCTTTGGGCACCTGCCCAAGCTAGTCTACTTTCCCCAACCCTCAGAGGGAATCATTAGCCTAAGTTTTCTTTATAGATGTATCACAACATTTTCTTAAATAATATATAATTGAACTCTGTTTGTTTTTAGCATGGCAAATGCAGTATGTTTCTAAGATTCGATCACGTTGATGAGTGTAGCTGTATGTAGTTCATTTAGTATCACTGTAGTAGAGAATTCAATTTCATGAATATACTACAATATAGCTATCCATCCTCTTCGATAATTGACAGGTTGTGTCTAGTTTTTTCTATCGTAGGCAGTGCTGCTATGAACATTCTTACGCTTGTATCCTGGTATATTTGCAATATTTTTTGTAGGATATATATGTGTGTGTTCAGTTTTCCAAGTTAATGCCAAATAGAGCAATTGAACAAATGTACACCCCCACTGCCAGAAAGAGAATTTGGGTGATAAAGAAAAAAATTCTTCAAACATCTTGACAGAAAAAAAAAACAGTCACCACAGGGGAGCAAGACTCAAGCAGACCTCAGCCCTCTTCACTGCGACATTGAAGGCCAGGGGACAGTGAGGACAGACCCTGTGATTATCTTAAGCCTCCCCTCTACATCATAATTCAAACGTCAACAGTATCTACTTAGTGTCTTCCTATGTCTCATTTCTTTTTCATTTTCTAATAATGCTGCCCTCTGTTTCCTTAAATCGGAAATCTCCCTTTTCTGACATCTCATTTCTGTTGTCTGACCAACGCATCTGTGAGTTTGCGTGTTTCACTGGATTTGTGTCCTAATTCAGCTGCAGAGCATGAAGAAATTGGCAGGCGTTTCCTTTGGTTGCTTCTTCTTACTGGGGTTCATGGTGTTTTGCATGCTGCATCTCCCCCTCAGTAGGATGTTTTTGGAGTCGTCATGCTTTTTGTTTTGCTCATGCTTGGGGAACTTCGTCCCTTCATTTTATTTGTTCTGACAGCGTGTGAGTGACTACTGGGCTCTCTTCCTCTTGTATGCGAGATCACTTTGTCGCTCTCAGTTTCACTGTGAGGGTTGAGGGAACTGGGTAGGCAGGGGCAGAGAAGCTCGGTGGGCAGAGTGTTGGCGGTTGGACTCCGCGGACTCTGTCTGCTCTAAGCTGCTGCCGTTTCGGACATGCATCAGGGTTTACTCCTCAGGGGCTGGGTGATGTACATGGTTCCCTGGAGGGTAGAACCTTAGACTCACATTGTTGCCCAGATTCAGCTTGTTGCCCTGAAGTCTTCGCTTTTGTCAGAATCAGCCCCCATGTTACCCAATTCTCCCCAATACTCACTTCTACCACTTTTCAGTCAGTGGAGGAAATGAATACACAGATATTGAGTTGTCGGAAAAGTCATGACGTATTTTTTCTATGTTTTTTGTTGCAGAAATGTGTCATGACTTTTCCGACAACCCAATATTTACATGCTTGGCCTCTCTCAGCTTTGGGGATCCCCATGAGCATTCGCAGGACCTGGTAGATTCTCCATGGCAGCTTCCAGGGGACTAGGGACCAGGTTCGGAGCCAAGCCCTGCTAGGTTTCTCTACTCCACCCCAGATTCTTGTTTCTTTTCTTGGTTAACAGTTTTTGAAGTTTATTGTACTAGGTATGTCTCTTTCTTTATTTGATTGTTGTTGGTGAATTTCTTTTGCTTGTTTTTACTTCATTATCCTTTTGGCTATTTATTTTTTAAAGATTTTTTTGGGGAATTGGGGGAAGGGAACAGCGTTGGGGAATCAGGGAAGGGGAGCAGACAAGTTGCTGTCCTTTTGTTCTTCAGTCTAGTTGTAGAGGACGTCGCTTCACTGGCCCATGTTGGTATTATCATTGCACTCTTCCTGGGTGAGGCAGTTGCTTGCCAGCCATTGGACGGCTGCTCACGGTGGCTCACAGTAGCTCACGAAAGCTCACACCAGCTACCAGCCAGCCCTACTGCAGCCTACACCATCACCGGCAACTCATGGCAGCCCAGCTCCAGGTTGAGCTGTTGTTCATCATCTTAGCTGTAGAGGGTGCAGTGTCACTGACCCACATATGGGATCCGAACCAGGGCCCTGCAGCTCAAAGCTGGCGTCCCAAACCAATTCCTAACCAACGCACCACTCAGCTGGCCCGGCTATTATTTTTAAGGTATTGGCAAAACAAAACTCTACAAGAAAGTTTCAATCTGCCATCTTAGCCCAGAAATCCTTTATTTGTTGTATGTTATCTGACTACCCCACAGGAATATAAATTTCATAAGGGCAGGGATCTTGTTTGGTTTATCCCTGTGTCCCCAGACCTTAAAACAGTGCTTTGGCATATAGTAGGTGCTCAATAAATCTTTGTAGGATGAATGGATGGATGGATGGCTAGCTGGCTGGCTGGCTGGCTGGATGGATGGGCAGAGAAATCAGCTAGGAGGCTATCACTGTAGTCTCATGTAGGGACGATGTGAACCTGAGAAGTGGAGGCAGAAATGGAGTGGAAGGGATAGATTTGAGACTTTGAAAGTTAGAGTAGAACTAAGTTTGATTAGAACTAAGTTTGATTACTCAGCAGGGAGGAAGGGGCAATGAGTAAGAAGCGAAATTCATCCCTTAAGGTAAACAGAAGACTTTCGGGTTTCTAGCTTGGATGAACAGGTGGTATCATTAGGTTCTTCAGTGAGAAAGGTAACACTAAAGGAGCAGAAGATACTGGGTTCAATTTGAACTCGCTGGGTTGATATTATCGGACTGCCTTAGCCATGGGGCTGATGTTCTGAAGAGAACAGGGTCAGACAGAGTCTGCGATGTCATCAGCAAAGGTGGAGGTTGAGGCAGTGGAGATAGATAAAAGAAGTGCGCAGCGGAGCAAACCACTGATCTGCATTAAAGGTTGGGGAAGGATCCGAGGCAAAGAAACCTGACCCCATTGAGCTCCAGGTCCCAGAAAATGTTTCTAGAAATAGAAAAAAAGGGATTATGTAGATATATGTCACATTGGTCCTCAATTTGACTTCCTCCAGGGTCTGTCTTCCCCATTCTGCCCTACCATCCTGCACCCCCATCAAGTGTTTCCATATACACAAAGAAAATGCAGATTTACATAATCTCCAAAAAAAAAAAAAAGTGAAACCACTGCCTTTAGCAACAGGAATGGTTTGCTTTTTTTTGCATTCACTAAAGAGCACAGTGTGAGTCATCTGAGGTTCTGAAAATTCAGCAGGAACTGGGCATTTTAATATCCTAATCGATGGGAAGTAGCGGGGTAGGGGTAGACAAGACCCAGGCAGGAAATGCTGAGTGTCAGACAAGGGAAGGTCCCGTGAAGGTTTACGTTCAATGACAACTTTGGGTTTGGAAACAGTGATGTCAGCACAAGTCGTGACTATGAGATGGCGCCAGCTCTCTCCTCGCTTGGAACAGAGACCCAGAGCTGGGGACACTTTCTCTGATCTCCCAACCTCCTCCCACCCCCTGCCTGCACCTCCTCTATCCTGTAGCCTAAGACTTATTTTAGGGCTGGGGTGATGATTTCATCCTGATGATTTCATCTTGAATCTCCAGATCCACTCTCTGTAAGCCAAACCTGAGGTCAGGGTGACCCGTGTGATCCCTGGGCATCCGCACAGGAATTGAACACTGGGAATTCGGGTTGAAGTGGCATCACCTTGGACTGCATGGGGCTTTAGTTATTGAATTGCCACATGCAAATCCGAGCCAGAAAATCTTGCCCCATCAGGCAGGTAGGAGTTCCTGCTCTATGAATTTTCATCCTTCTTCAGTCACCTAGCTGAGACTTCAGAGTAAGCTTTAGTGCCAATTGTCACAAACACCGCAATTATAATCATTAAAAACACAAATGGCTAATTATTGCTAAGTTAATATTATACTAATTTTTACTATAGCTAATAATTATTATTTATTATGCACTTACAATGTGCTGGGCACTAGACTAAGTAACTTATACACGTGATCTCTCTTGCTCTTCATAATGACCCCCAAAGTGCACATTATTATTTTCATTTTCTTACTGAGGGAACATGTTCACCCATTTATTCCTCCAGTCAATGGTTGGGTGCAATGTCCATGAAATGGGTGCTGTGGATCCCTTCACTGGGCCGGTGGGCTTGTCTCCAGTGGCTGTGACCCTCAGTTGCTAATGGCCCACCTTCTCCAGGAAATCGCCTTGGCCAGATGGGACCTGGAAAGTTCCTCTCCCTTCTCCCCTGCAGTCCATAGCTGATGACTCACCGACACATAGAGATTCAAAACGGTGGCTGCCTTCTTGGCTCCAGGTGGGACACGCTCTGTGGTATAATTCATGCTAAGAGCTCCCCGTAGGATCAGGCTGAAGACACCGGTCTCCAGCTAAGACTGTCTTCCCCTCCTCACATCCTTGCTCTGTCCTCGCCCCCGTTTTCTTGCGAGCACTTCACACATGAATGACGTGCACCGAATCCCTGTCTCAGGCTCTGTTTCTGGTGAAGCCCACGCATGACAGTGGGGCAGTGGAATGAGCAGGTTTTCATTTCAGACAGACCAGAGTTCAAATACATCTGTGTGGCTGTGTGACCTTGAGCAAGTCAGTTCACTTCTCTGGGCCCTATTGTCCTCACCAGTTTTTAAAACTTGGAATCATTACTAATTTAACCTTCCTTCCTTCCTCCTTTCAATAAACTTTCACGTTTGCCTCTGTGAACTAGACACTCTGTGAACATAGAGACTAGAAAGCATAGTTTTGGCCTCCAGAGGTAGTGTTTTCCAAACTGAAGAATTAAAATCTTTCATTAGAGGGTGGTAGACCCAGCTTTAGTGGATCTGACCGGCATTTTGCGGGAGGAAAGGGGGGAAAAAAGCAATGGAATGAAAAGAAAGTATCTGGGTGCATCAGACTTAATAAGGATAAGTTCCATGAAGGCTTTATCGGAATTGATTATTCTATCTGTATAACATATCTATTTCTCTATAGAGAGCTGATAGTAGACCTGAGGATGTATGGGATAATGTTATAAATTCTTATTTCTTGCTGGCCGTCAGTTAAAAAAGGTTTGAAAGCTACTTGTCTATGGGAATAGGAGATAGCACTGGTGGATGGCATTTCAAAATTTATTTTGTTATAGTTATATAAGACTTTAAATAATAATGGGTTTATACACAATTTTGTTTGTACATGCTTAAGAAGCTTCATAATAAAAAGAATTTGTCAGTCCTGGGAAGTGCCTGAGAACACTGTTCCCTTAAACTGGGATAATGAACTGGTGAATCTTGTGTTCTAGTCATAAAATTACCCTTGTAAGCATTCTGAAAAGCACTTTATTGAGGTATAATTGTCATACAAATAGCTGTACAGATTTAATGTATACAGCTTGATGAATTTAAAGTTAAGTGTTCGTAAATACTGTGATATTTCTTTCAGAACATTATTCCACAAATTAAGACACAGAGTAGACCATGGATATGTATGTTAGATTTTGTTTTGTTAAATGTGTGTATATATGCGTATGCATGTAGAGAAAACAGACTGCAAGGCTGTATGACAATATTAAGTGTTCTCTCCAGGTGGTGGGATTTTGGTTTTCTCCTTGCTTTGCTTTGTTTTTTAAGCTTTAAGCAATACATTAAAGTTTTCTGCAATGTATTAAAAGAGAATTGAAATACTATAATGAATGCTTTCTATATGCTAAATCCTTTATATATTACCTCATTTAATCATCACAGTAATTCTATGCCCTAGGTATTACTCTTCTCCCCGTGTTTACAGATGGGGAAACTGAGGCTTTAAGAGATGAAGTAAATCGTCCAGTGCCACAGAGTAAAATACGTAAAGTAACCTGATGTAAAATAACCAACATCCCAAAGACACAGGAGCCTGAGCTCTTTCAAATTACAACCCACTTTTCCTAACCCGTCCCCAATTCCCCTTACCCTGACCTATTATTTTCTTTTCTCTACATCTTTTATCACTTTCTAACGTTCTGTATAATTTACTTATTTATTATATTTATTCATTATTGCTGTTTTCCCCCATAAAAATGTAGCCTTCAGGAGGGTAGAATTTTTGTCTTCTGCTCATGGATATATTCTTAGATTCTTGAGATACAGGCCTAACACATTCTTGACACTCATTTAAATAAACATCTGTTGAAGGAACATTTTTTTTCCAAAATCAGTTATCTAGCCACTATAATTATCTGCCTTCTAGTATATAATAAATATGATTTTTTTCCCAAGGTGACCCTCAGGATAACCCACCAGTATGAATCAGAGCTGTGATGACAGATGCTTGTGGGTCCATGAAGACAAGGTAAGTTGTGAGAAAGAGCAGGTTCTGGGGCTCTTCTGTCCCTTTGTCCTGCTTGCAGCCCCGCCTCACTCTAGGGAATCTACCCCCTGACTTCCTCTGCTGTGGGGAGCTTGCCCCAAGGGATCCCTGACTAATGATGTATAGTGGTGGCAGGTTGGAGGCCCTGTAGAAGTATGTAGGGACCAGAGCACATCCCAGATGCTGGGCCTTGGGGTTCAAAGAATTTAAAAAAGTGAAGTGCTTTCCAGGACAGGTGACCCCAAGAGACACCATTTATTTAAACTTACCCCCAAGCCAGGCACAGGGCTACATGGGTTTTACAGGTGTTGCTTCTAATCCTTACAATAACATGTAAAGGTGGATTTTATTATCCCCCATTGTACAGAGGCAGGATCTAGGGCTCAGAGAAGTTCATTGGATGGATAGGTAGATAGTTTTGGGTACCACAGATAGCTGTTGCTTGAACTAGAGCACTCTTCGCTGACTTGTCATCCATGTTGGGGACTATTTGGCTCTGTCTACGTGAAAAAGTACAATTTTCCTACATAAAGGAACACTATTCATCAAACTAATTATTATCAATGACAATTATTTCAGCAGTAATATAACTACTTCGTGAAATCAAGTCATTCTTTAAAATGAACTTTAATTGTTCATTGTACGCATTGAGAACATGAATTGTTTATTTAGATATTTATAATGGAAAGGAGGCAAAAAGGACAATATTTTCTTGGCTAACAATGAAGGAGTCACAGACAGTCGCAGATGAAGGACTTCAGTCATCATCTCTCCTAATACCCTAGTTCTACAGATGAGTAATCAAGCCCCAGTGAGGAATGTATATGTTTAGGTGGTTATGTAATAATGATTCCATCTTTCACTACAGGCAGAACTTAATTTCCCTGTAAGTGGTCCTTATCTAACTTATTTAACCATTCCATAACTCGATTTCGTTGCCTTTAAAATGGGAATAATAATATTGCCTACCTAATGGCACAGCTGTGGTAATGAAATGATTAATACTTGTAAATGACATATGTAAGGTGCGTAGAACAGTGCCTAAGGCCTAGTAAGCACTCAAACCAATTAAGTGTCATTACGATTACTATTTCCTAGTGGCAAGGAATTGGGAGCTTGAGCTAATCAATTCTTAGCTGAATAGCTGAGCCGATAGCTTGTTTATTTCTTATCTCTATTTATTTTACTATGTAATGTTAACTTTGGAACGGCACTCTGGTTAGAACGAGATTTTCTTGTTTTGCCTAAACACACACACTCACGCATATAAATGTGCATATGTATGTGTATATATGATATATATATGTGTGTATACATATGATATATATACACACATACATTTATATATGTATGATATATAGATATAGATATATATCACATATATATATATATATATGTGAGAGAATGAGAGGAAGTATGAGAAACTCAATCCGTGAAATCCTGATGACTCTACCCTCAAAATGCGTCCTGGATTTGCCTCCTTCTCACATCTCCACGTCCCATCTGGTCCCACCTGGGCCCTTCTGCCTCGGTCACTGCAGTGGCCTCCTAAATGCTCTCCCTGCCTGCAATCTTGCTCCTCTATAGTCTGTTCTCCACCAGCAGCCAGAGGGCTCCTTCTAAGATGGGAGTCAGATAATTTCACTTCTCTGTTCAGAACCTTCCAACATCTCTTGTCTGGTGCTGGGTGAAACCTCTCCTATCTCTCTGACCATTTTCTTCAAATCTCCCCTTACCCCCTCTGCCCCAGCCACATGGCTGTGTTTTTCCTTGAACACCCTTGTGTACTCCTGCCTCAGGCCCTTTGCACGAGCTGTCTCCTCTGTCAGTAATGCTCTTTCCCAGGGAGCCCCATGACTCCCTTCCTCCCTTCCTTTAGATCCCTGTTCAAGCGTCCTTTTAGCAGTGAAGTCTTTCCTGATCACATCTGTGAATGAATACCCCCACCCTCCCTAGGCTCCTCTTGCCCTGATGGTTCTCCGCAGCACTTATCACCACACACACTCACACATGCACACAGTTATTTGTTACTCCCATCTCCATCTCCCAGGACAGTGTAATCTCTCCAAGGTCAGGGACTATGTCTGTTTTACTCATGCTCTGTCCTCACCGTCTAGTATACTGTTTGCCTTATAGCTGCTCAATAACGTTTTTTGGAATGAATTTGTCTTCTTCCCTTTTTACATTCAATTGCTTTTTTATTTAAAGAGAGAAGGCCCTGTCAGACCTGGAAATAAGCCCTGGGACTCCAGGGGACACTGATCGCTGTTTAGCTGCCCAGCCTCTGAGCCCCAGATGCTTGTTTCCCCAGCCTCCCTTGCGGTGGGCACAGAAACATGACTAAGACTCAGTCTATCGACACACCCAAAGAAGCAGGGGCCCGGGGAAGCCACCTTGGTGGGGATGGTGGCAGCAGTGGTGGCCACATCCAGTCCGAGCTCTGTTGACAATGCCATGTGTGGTCCTGGACCAGCTCTGGGGCATAATTCCAGCTCAGGAGTCTCCCTCTTTCCTGCCCCACCTCCCAAGCCTGATTTTTCTGGCATTCTTGGTGATTTGATAAACTCAACAATATCCTTTATTATGAATGTATCTTCTGCTTATAGAAGCAAAGCTCGCTTCTTGTTGCTTGCCATTAAGAATCCTGACCACTCCAGGACTCTGCTCTGTGATATTCCATAGCAGTAACCACCAGCACCAACAGAGGTGGGGACGTACAGTGACCACAGAGAGGGGAGGGCCCCCTGGAAAAGCAGTGGCCCCCGACGAGCCTGCCTAACCTCTTCCGCATACAAGCTGCCTTACCTAGATATGAACAATTTGCATTCTTTGCCTCTCACAGTTTGAAGTCGTTCGTCTTTGAGCTCTGTACAGTGTCTGTGCTCTTTGGAAAAGATGTCTCATTTTGCAGTTATTATGCATCTGGACCTTGAGGAGTCTTCTTCAGATGGTTTTCCATCCTCCATGTGATGCGGGAGACCCAGGTGAGAGGCACTGTCACCACAGGAAGACAGAATTTGGATGGGAAGCTTTCCACCCAAGCATTCATGCACCAGGACTCCGGAGGATGTTCTTTAGAGCTGCATTTCCAGGGTATTTGAATAGACTCTTAGAATAACCACCACTGAAGCTGTACTCAGGAGGCCAGATTGAGGAAGAAAAGCTCAGCTTAGCCCCAGCTCTAACCTCCAAGCTCTGCCTTATCAAGGAGTCCAACACCTCTAAAACAGAAAAGCAAAACCCCAGCCTGAGAAGAACCCCACCACCACCCTGCCACTTCCATCCTCATCTACCCCAGCTTTCCATCTGTTAAAAATAAACAAAGGAATGTCATTTAATATGGAGCTGGGAAGCCCTGGAGGGGAAGCTCTCAGGCACTGCCGCCCAGACGGGGAACAGGAGGACATACCACAACAGAAGGAAGGAAGAATTTCTCCTTGCCCGGCGAAACACCTTCACTGTGGTCAGTCCTTGCCTGAACCTCTCTAGCTGGTTGACCTCAGGATTGGGCTCCTGGTTACTGTCCAGCCAATGAGAAATGGCCACGCTCAGCCAGCGAGAAGCCATTACCACCCTGAATTCTTCGAACACCCCTTTCAACTTCCTCTTTTTCCCTATAAGAGCAAGCCCCTCTTTTCTGTTCTTCAGACTGGCCTATGGTTCACCATAGCTCGCTTGTCCTGAATTGCAATTCCTCTGCTATTTCCGAATAAACCCATTTTGCTGGTACAATAACTGGCTTTTTGGGTTTTTTTAAGGTCAACACATCCTTGAGCATGTGTTTTCGTTTGGCACAGAGCCAGGCACATAATAAATACTTTTTTTTTTTTAAGATTTTATTGGGGAATTGGGGGAAGGGAACAGCGTTGGGGACTCGGGGAAGGGGAACAGACAAATTGCTGTCCTTTCGTTCTTCAGTCTAGTTGTGGAGGACGTCACTTCACTGGTCCATGTTGGTATTATCATTGCACTCTTCCCGGGTGAGGCAGTTGCTCGCCAGCCATTGGATGGCCGCTCACGGCGGCTCTTGGCAGCTCACGCTGGCTGAATAAATACCTTTAAAAGTCATCCAAAGCCTTCTCTTCTGCTGGGCTGTGGACTGCAGATAAGAGTCAATGGAGAGAGTTTTAAGTAAATAATGGAATAAGCAAGACTGTCATTTTTGGTAAATAAGATTGCTCAGATAAAGGTGGAATGACCTTGAGAGGACTTCTACTATCTCCAGGTCCACTGTCTTGGATTGACAGATGTCACCCATGTGGAACAAGACTTCATAGCCTCCCATGCCCAGTACTCTGCCTGGCTGTGCCAAACCATCAGATGAGTGCTGAGCTAGAGGGGACCTTAAGGGTAGAGGGGACTGTCTGTTTTAGGGCCCTGGCAGGGCATCTGGAAAGAACAACGTGGCCCTGGGACCCAAGTCCTAGAGGAAGTAAGCAAGTATTTATCAGGTAGTCACCAAATGAATGAAGTGTCCACACCATGGAGATGCGAGTGCTTCCTACTTTTACCACTGAAGTGGCCTTGATGTTGGGTGTATCTGTGCGAGTGTTGATCACAGCCCTCTAAGGAGTGAAGGATCTGCCCTACCCAGGGCTTGCTTTGTGTGTGACCTTGAACAAGGTCTTAATATCCATCTGGGTCTGCACTACTGGCCTTAGTTACTGACTGAGTTCAGGTGTGACCAGGCCTGTGCCAGGTTTTTTTACATATGCCATCTCATTTAATCCCTCAAGAGCCCTGAAGCGTAAGCAGCAGAATCTCTGTTTTGTCGATTAGGAAAGTGATGCTCAGAGAGGCTACCTAACTCCCCAATCCACATAGCTATAAATGGCAGAGCTGGGGTCCATCACAGACTTTCAGACTTAAAGGCCCTATGGATAACAAGAATAAAACGATGAATAGGAAAAGTCCAGGTATTTGCATCTCATAACACCACAGCAATAACCTTTAATCACACTCCTTGAGGCATCCTCTTAATTGTTGGATTGGCCCCGATAACTTGTTTTTTGATCTCACAGCCCACCGAGAATACCCCCACCTTATTTTTCTCCAATTATTGATATAGTTTAAGATCTGTCTGCCTCCATGGAGACAGACTCTAAAATGACCCCAAAGTATTCCTGCCTGTAGGTGTCCATGCTCTTGTGTGACCCCCTCCCCTTGAGTGTGGGTGGGACCTGGGACTTGCCTCTAAGCAAAGGTGATGCGGTCACTTCTGTGATGTGTTGTATAAGATTGCAACTCCTGTCCTGTGAGCACACTCTCTCTACTGCCTTCTCAGTTCTCATGCTTTGATGAAGCCAAGGAGGTCCACGTGGCAGAGAACCGAGGGCAGCCTCTGGCCAAAGCCAGCGAGGAGATGAATCTCGCCAACAATGTGAGCTTGGATGCCGACTCTTCCCCAGTCAATCCTCAGATGAAACCTCAACCCTGACCAACACCTTGACCATGGCCTGAAGCAGAGGACCCAGCTAAGCCACGCTGCATCTCATATAAACTCTGAGATCCATTATAGCAACAGAGAATTAATACATTCCCTTAGTTGCAAGCTCCTGAAAGGCCGGGATGGTGTTCTACTCATCTTCGAAGTCATAGTACCCAACGCAGGGGCTCTAGGCATGTCTGTGGTCCCCCCGAATTGGTCTCTGTCTTTCCCCCCAACATATCCTCCACGTTGCCTCAGAGAGATCATTCTAAAATGCCAATTTAATGGTGTCACCCTCTGCTTCAAACTCCTCAGTGGCTTCCTATCATTTTTAATAAAAATCCAAACTATTTAGCATAGCACTCAAGGACCTTCGTCACGTGTCCCCACACTGCTACTCCAGGCTCTTCTCCGCCACCACTGACTCCCTGCCGCCCTGCGCTCCAGCCACACGACTCACCCCTCTTCCACCTGACCCTTTAGGGGTCAGAGCACTTGCCCATGCTGTACCCTCGCCTAGAAGATTCTTTCTTCTTTGCCCATTGAGTTCCTACTTATCCTTTATGGCCCAGCTCAAACGTCACCCTCTCCTGAAGTCTTCTCATGTCCTCCCCTAGCCCAAGAACAGCCGCCGCCATGCCTCCTGGGACTTGGAGTGCTATGACACCCTGTACCACACTGAGTGATAATTATTTTTAACCTTGGCTCTCCTTCTAGTCTGAAGAATTTCATATCCTTCTCCTATCTTTCTTCACATCCCTCTTCATGTCCTTCTCTCTCTCTCTCTCTCTCTCCTTGCCTGGAAAACCCCGGAATGGTTGACTGAGTCAACGAGTGGCATTAATAACAACACCAAAGGCTGAAACAGGGCACTTGTGGGTCAAACAAGGGCTAAATAGGTTGCGTTAGTGGGTACACAGGACAAGCTCTGTAGACACCTGAAGTGCTGCTGGAGGGTGGTTGGCAAGCACCAGAGATAAAAATCTCCTCTTGCTAATACTGTTCCTTCATTGTGAGGGGGGGGAGAAATGGAGGCCTAAGACACTTCCTCTTTCAGCTGGAGATAGCCGTCTATTTTGTGTTAGAACATTACATGGTGACCTTTTCTGAGACATTGTCCTTAAAGACGCAGTATGTAAACTTTATACTTCCTTCCTGCTCCTAAAATATTAAACAATGGAACAGGTTTGACTCAAAGGCCCCCTCTGCCCTCCTGGACTTGCTGATTGACACCAGTCAAACCCGAGGCTGACAACATCAAAACCTCAAAGAAAATGTCTTGCAAATTTCCTATAACTTACATTTATTAGATGCTCTTTCTCACCATTTATTTTTGCTCCAGGTCCACAGATGTCACACCAATCCAGTAACCAGAGAAGGGGCATGGGAGGGGTGTTGAGGCTGCTTCTCCCCCCCTTCAGTGTTTAAGCTCTATAAGAGCAGCTTTTTGTCACAAACAGGCCCAGCGAGTAGGACGAGATCCCTGGAGAAGGGGGTGTAAGTGTGCAACACCATAGGAGCCGTATCTTAAACTGACAGCCAACGACCTGGTTTAAATTGAAACAAAGTCTTGACCCCACATTTCAACATGAACGTTTAAGCTGGCCAAGTTCACATTCAGATATGAAAAGCGGGATCGCATCTTTTCAATCCATCTCTTATCAGCTCATGGTTGTTTCCAGACAATGAAAAATGTAGTGTATATAAAAACCGCTGGCTCAGATAATGGCTGAGCCATGGCTTTTCAGTCAGATTTGCCACCAAGCCAATCCAACTGTGCAGAAACCAGTTGTTTGAATGATTGAAAAGCATTTGGAGCTAGATCATTATTTCAGCGTCCACTCGCAAGTGAAGCCGTGTATACCTGTAAGTATTGTACCTTCTGCTTTGCTGCAGGAATATTTCCAGCCAGCCATATTTTCCCTTTTTGGGACCTCCCCACAGTACTCTCTGGATTTAGGAAAGGTAGAAAATCCTTCTGCCTGTTGCCCTTGCCAGAGCTGGAGACACTGATCACTCAACAAGCGTTTATCAAGTACCCTCTCGACAGCAGGCATTGCAGATGCCAATGGGACTAAGGTGTTATTATTCCCTGCCTCAAGGAGCAGACAAAAGGTAGCAGATTACAACTGAGTATGTAGTGTGTGTGTGGTTGGGGGCGGGGGGAAGGGGGCGGTTCGGTAAATATTTGATGAGTAAATGAATAAATGGAGAAAAAGCTGTTATAATATAGGAAAGCTCTAATACTATGGAGTGTGCCCAGGAAGACATCTGACTGGGACTGGGGAGGTGTTTGTCAAAATAAACTTTTTCTTCTTCATATCAACCCAGAATCATAACATTTGCTATTTGCATTTGTTCTTCCATAGTCTGTTACCTATTAGTAGTGGAAGTAGGCAGTAGGACTGTGTGTGTGTGTGTGTGTGTGTGTGTGTGTGTGTGTAAAATAAATAAGGCTATCTTTTTTTAAAATAGTATTTTTTTAAGATTAAGGGATTAATCATGAATAAATATTTATGTGTAAAGCCAGGTATTAGGTGGCTGGGGAAAGGTAAGATTGTTCATACAAATGCCACAGCTGCTCACATCATCCAAGGGCAGACACAGAACCTGCCAGCCTCATGGGCATGGGCTCTGGGAAGCCGCCAGCAAGCCAGAGATCCCCCTGCTTTTTTCTCTCCCTGTGGCTTGCACCAGGCGCTGTGGCTTCTCTTGTCTGGACAAGTCTGTTCCTCACTCCGCCCTCCACTCGCTCAGACATCCTTTGCTCACTCCTGCGTTCTCCTTTCCGGCTCTCCTCACACATTGCTTCCCAAACCCCAGGTTGAGCACATGGTCTTTCTGTTCGGTTCCTATAATAAGGTTTCACAGTCCCATGAGAGGAATCCAACTGACTGCCTCTTAATTTCGTGCCAGGTCCTTAGCCCACCTATGGATGAGCTGTCTGTGGGACCCTTGTCCACCTAGATCTAATTAGCTGTGGGCCCAGAAGTCCTTTGATTCTCAGCATTTCTAATAGGGAACAAGGCAGGACATGTGGGCTACATCTCTCGTGTAGTTTTGCTCCTAAATGGGGACACAGCCATCTAGATGCCATTAGACTTCAGAGTTTCTGAAGATAGAGCAAGGAGAAACTGCTCACCGGGCGGGACCCCAGGCCCCAGACCCCTCACCATTGCTGATGCCACCACCGTTACCAAGAGATCAGAGCAGCACAGGGAGAAGTGGTCTCTGGGTCTTAAAGAGGCTTATGCTAGAAGCAACAATTGAGTACCTGCTATGTGTAAGGCGGATTCATAGGTCCACTAACTCTCAGATCTTTTTTAGTATGAGACGCTAAGGGGTTGAAAGCCTACTTTTTGAGAAAGCATACTTTTTGGCGTGCTTCACTGTGTATTACCTAACAGATAGATAGATCTTCATAAGAACACTATAGAGACAGTATTATAATGCTTGCCATTTGAGAACTCAAAAGTGAGGTGCGGAGAATTTCAGTTACTTGTTTAAGGACACAGAGCTACGATAAATGGGGGAGCCTGGAAGAGTCTCAGAGCTAACTAAGCTGTGTCTCTCTCTTGCCCTCCTCAGCAGCACCTGCAAGGACAGCACAGCCTGTCTCTATGCCCTTGTTGGGCTCCCCCTAGACTGGGGGAAGACATCCGATTCACCATCCTGTCCCCAGGAACTACCACAGGCAGGCCTGATGCACAGATCACACACACTGTAGTCTAATCCATGAAGGAACAAATGATCTACTGCGTTCCCCAAATGGAGGGCAAGGGGAGAGATACAAGAAGGGGCCAGAGGGGCCAGGGCAGAGCGGGAAGGCAGTAGAAAGCTGCTCCCTTGTTTCTGGCCTTGGTCTATGCTAGACAGGAGAGGGTGTGGTACCCTCCCTGAGGGACACACGTCAGCCTCAGCCGTGCTTTGAGCTAATGGTGTTTTGGAAACTTCAGAAGGAGTATAGGATGAGGGAAGACTCCATCAGCTCCAAGCACTGCCTGCTCTTGGCTGCCAAACATGGCAGGCAGATGTACATACTTCCCATTGTCTGGGAAATCCCAGGGGGTGGCTTTCCTGACACAGCTGATTCCTTGGTCCCTTTGCATAGTGATTTGACTGATGGCTTGATTCACATCTGTCTACTTTTTCTATTTCACGAGCATGTATAGGCCCAGTCTGTGTGGAGCTAAAACCTAAGGCTAGAAAGATGAATAAATCATGGTCCCTCCCTTGAAGAACTCACTATCTAATAGGGAAAAAAGACAGGAAGGTTGAAGATTATTACACAGTGCAATAGATAATTGAACAGAGTTATATATAATGGCGACGGAGGACATAGAGATATTCCATGAAGCTCATGAGCAAATCACTGAATGAACCATTTCATATTTTTCCCAGAGGGGATATTATATATCAAGTACTGTGCTTGGCATGAGGTCAAGGGCTCATAACAGCCTCATCAAAGGCTGCATCCGTCCATTGCTAATTTTTAAACAACATATTTATGAAATTATAAATGATATACAATAAAGTGCACATATCTAACACTTTACAATTTGATACGTTTTCACCCATGTATACACTCATGAAATCATCTCCACAATCAAGGTAATGAACATATCCATCACCTCCCGAAGTTTCCTTATGCCCCTTTGTCGCCCCTATTCCCGCTCTTCCCACAGCCCCCCATTTTCAGGCAGCCACCAATCTTCTTTCTGTTATTATAGATTAGTTTGCATCTAGAATAAGTGAAATTACACAGTATTCTTTTTCGTCTAGCTTCTCTCACTCAGTGTGATTATGTTGAAATTCATCCATGTTGTGTGTATATCAATAGTTCATTTCTTTTTGTTGATGAGTAGTATAGATACACCACAATTTGTTTATCCGTTCACATGTTGATGGACATTTGGGTTGTTCCCTGGTTTGGGTTAATTCAAATAAAGCTGCTATGAATATTTGTGTACAAATCTTTGTATGGACATGTTCTATTTTTCTGGAGTAAATGGAATGGAATGGTTGGATCATATGGTAGGTATATGTTTAACTTTTTAAGAAACTGTTAAACTGTTTTCTAAAGCAGCTATATCATTTTATATTCCTTCTAGCAGTGTATGAGAGCTGCACCTTCTCGCCAAGTAAGTTTTAAAAATTTTAAGCATTCTAATAGGTGTGTAATGGTTTCTAATTATGGTTTCATTTGCAATTCTTTACTAACAATGTTGACCGTCTTTTCATATTAATATATATCACTCTTATGGCTCAAATCTTCTGCTCATTTTTTGCTGGGCTCTCTTATTACTGAGTTTTAAGATTTCTTTATACATTCTAATGCAAGTCCTTAATCAAATATATACTTTGCATATGTTTTCTCCCAGTATGTGGCATCTTTTCATTCTTTTTGGAAGGGCAGAGCTTTAAATTTTTAACGTAGTCCAATTTGTCAAGAGTTTTCTTTTGTGGATCATGCTTTCAGTGTTGTATTTGACATATATGTTTCCCCAAAGCCCCAAATTACTTACCATTTGTGTTTTAATGTCTCCATATGGAAAATGGGCATAATAATAGTATCTATCTCATAGGGTTATTATGAGGATTAAAATGTATAAGTATTTATAATATGCTTAGAACAGTGCCTGGCCAATAATAAGTGCTATATGCTTTTTTTTTTCTTATGTCTACTTAAAATCATGGATTCTAGAAACAACTACAATAGATTCTGCTTCAGGACACAAGCCAACTATGCTGGCTTCCAGGTACGGGTTTTGCTCAATCTTTTCCTAATCCCTGCCGCTGCTGGGGCACAGTTAGAATTTTAGGCCAGTAGAATTATCATGTAGCTCTACCTCCAGCCCCATGCAGGAATCCCTTCTGCACGCCACACCTGACCAGCCGCTGGCTGCCTTGTGAGTAAGAATTCTTCAGGCTGATTGTACATTCAGGAAGCCTGAGCTCAATTCTGGGGAAGGCCGATGATGTCTGGCTGTGAGGTGACAGTGAGATTCCCCAGGCCTGCGAAGCTAAATTTCTGTGTTCACTATATGCACTACTAGTTCCTCCCGGTGCTTCCACCATGCCACCGGACACGGTTTGGATCTCCTAGAATAGTCAGAAATAAACTCCATGGAGTGGTCTTCCTGGAGACCCGCAACTCCTCTTTCTTGCCAGTAGAGAATCCGAATTAGGGGCAAGAATAGTACTTTTCTGCCTTAACAACTGCCCAAATCCTGAATCAACACCGGAATACAGTCTGGGCTTTTTTCATTGAGTGCTGGGGAGGG